TGGCCTTACTTAACTTGTCATTGGCCTAATTAAACTTGTCATGAATCCTATATCAAAAGTGTTTGCTGTCAAAGAAATCTGCAAATTCTCATTTCAACAGAACAATTTAAGATTGTATGAAAATCTTATCAAAACTTGTCATTGGCCTAACTAAACTTGTCATGAATCCTATATCAGAAGTGCTTGCTGTCAAAGAAATCTGCAAATTCTCATTTCAACAGAACAATTTAAAATTGTATGAAAACCTTATCAAAACTTATCATTAGCCTTACTTAACTTGATATTTGCCAAGTTAAAATTGTATAAAAAACCTTGTCAAAAGTGACAAGTTTACTATGGCAAATGACAAGTTGAGTTTGGCAAATGACAAGTTCCCATAAGGTTTTCATACAATTTCAAATTTCTCTGTCAAAATGATTGAATTTTCACATTGATTTACGAAGCAACAAATTCACTATGGCAAATAACAATTTCCCATAAGGTTTTCATACAATTTCAAATTTCTTTGTTGAAATTAAAATTTACAGATTTCCGACAGCAACCACTTCTAATAAGTAGTAAATGACAAGCTCAGTAAGGCCAATGACAAGTTCCAATAAGATTTTCATACAATTTAAAACTTCTCTGTTGAAATTAAACTTTGCTGATTTCTGACAACAGCCACTTCTGATAAGCAGTAAATGACAAGTTCAATAAGGCTAATGACAAGTTCCGATAAGATTTTCATACAATTTTAAATTGTTCTGTTGAAATGAGAATTTGTAGATTTCTTGACAACAAGCACTTCATGACAAGTTCAATTAGGCCAATGACAAGTTCTGATAAGATTTTTATACAATTTTAAATTGTTCTGTTGAATGAGAATTTGCACATTTCTTTGACAACAAGCACTTCTGATATAAGATTGATGACAAGTTCAGTTAGGCTAATGACAAGTTAAGTAAGGCTAATGACAGGTTCTGATAAGGTTTTCATATTGTTCTGTTGAAATGAGAATTTGCAGATTTCTTGACAGCAAGCACTTCTGATATAGGATTCATGACAAGTTCACTTAGGCCAATAAAATGAGAATCTGCTATAGGATTCTTGACAAGTTCAGTTATACAAGATGAAAAATGCACAGCTCATGCTTTCTAGTCCATTACGTTACCCTTTTTGCATTGCCCTTGATAGCTTATCATTGAACTCGCACATTACCAATCATTTATGAATAAAGAGAACATAAACTCAAAGAACAAATCAAAGAATATTAAAGGGAAACCCTCTATGTTTAGCTTCATTTTCTACTTACACACTAATTAATGAGTAAGGGGGAAGAACAGAACAAAGAAGACAATATTCAAATCCCCCTTTTTGGGTATGGATTCAAGGAAGAGTGAATCGAAAATACACTTTCATCTCAAGCTATAATATATAGAGAGCATCCGATATGGAAGATGAAAACATTTCTTGCTACTAAGAAAGAGAAGAACGAAGAGAGGGAGGAAGAGAAGAACGAAAGGGAAGAAGATTTGGAGAAGAAGAAAGAGAAAAAACAGAAGGGCATTTTGGATATTCCACCATCATTTTATATTTGCAATTTGGGACCGGGTCGTCTGAAGCTATTTTTCAAATTTAGGGTCCCTATAATTTTCCCAATAAATAATAAACAGATCTAATAAATATGACCCTGGTATGATATCTTAAATAAAAATTTAAAATTCTTAATGATTTATAGTTTTAATTTGATTTATAGTTTGATTAAATGAAAAAATTATAATTCTAATTAAAATAAAATAGTTTGACCCATTAAGGATGAATATTGAAAAAAAAAAAAACGTTATGCCAAAAAAATGCCTTTGAGAAAATAATCTGACTTCTTGACTAATGCCACCTTCCCCCGGGGGGGAGAATCGCATGCACACAATACTAGTAAAAACAAAGTTTAATGGTTTGCAGTAGAGGCCGGCTGCATGATGCAGTCCTATCAATGGATTCCAAGTAAACATGCTACGTCTTTGGGATGATTCATTAACTTCTTTGTAAAGCTCAAAACTATTTGGTGATTTAGATCTGATATGTATTCATCCCAAAGTGACAAACACCGATCCACCCGTGTCTAGTGTTCTACAAGCACCATATTATATGCCATTACAGGTTTTAGCTGAAAAGTTATATGCCATTAGTCCACCCGCTAAATTAATGTTAAATTACTAAATTGCAAAGCTTCAACATATCTTAAACAGGACCAAGAAAGCAAATAGTGATGCTATGACACATACAGTGACATAGATCCTAAACAAGATCAAGAAACTAAGGGCAAACTCAGATGACAATGATGCTTTCACACATACAGTGACATAGATCCTAACTAGAACAAGATCAAGAAACTAAGGGCAAACTCAGATGACATCGATGCTTTCTCAATAGAACATTTCTCCATCAATTTCACACGACAACAAAATAATGTATGCAAAACTACACTGTGCTTGAGATCACTTTCATTTTCTATCAGAATTATTCTCTCCCTATTTAAACATCATAACAATACTGGCGAAGGGGGAAATCGGAAGAAAATAATCACTTGGAAATCCAATCAAGCAACACAGTTTGGATGGCTGTGCCACATAAATTTGATAGTGAGCAAGGGGGAAATGTTTTAAAATGGAAAACATGTCCACCAATGGACCGATTTATGACCCGCCACACAAATCTTCAATACATTAGTAACTTGCGAGCATATTTAAAACCCAATTAATGAAAGACGAAGACCAATGCCGACTCAAGCATCCCATATTATTCATTATCTATCAGAAAACTAATGAAGCAAAAGAAATTTATAAAAACCTGGTTTTGCTAAGAGATATCGAAAGACAAGGGAGCAGAATCTAATGATACCGAAACAGCTACCCATCAAAGTCATAACCAGGTTTTATAGCAAAATTCCGATAGAAGCATCTAAAATTAATGCCCATCAGAATCCAATGAAGTGAATGAAAAACCACAAAACCTATGGTCTCGCTAGAAGATATGGAGAGAAAGGTGGGATCTAAGAATATCGAAAGAGAGACATTGCGTACCAAGAATTCAGGAAGCTGCGAGTTCTGGAGATCGAAGAGGCACAGATGTAGTTGCTGGAACTGAACGGAATTGCTTCTTGATTCTAGGGAAGCTTAGGATTGGCCCAACACGACGATCAACCTTTGAGGATTGAAAAAAGTAAAGAAGCCAAAATAAACAAAGGGAGAACAATATTAATAGAAAGCCCAATGTAGCCGTTGAAGCATAGAGCCGTTGCCGACGTAGCCGTTGGAGAATAGAGCCGTTATAGTGATGACGCTTCTTGAATTTTGGGGAGAAGAATTTCAATCAATCAGTCCCGCCGTCCTGCAAATGAGACGTCCATTTTAATTCCCTATTTTTTAAATTTCAAAAATAGCTTCATCCTAATTGTATTTTTGAGTTGAAGAAATGAGTATGTGATGGGCCTCCTAATCAACATGGCGACTAAGAGAGGGACTCTATAAGATTTATTAGTATGAAAAAAAGTGTCAAGGTTTTGAAGAATAATAATAATAATTTTTATAAAAGAAGAACTAAAATATTTACAATTAATTGCTTACAAAGTGGCAAAAAAATACGGAATCCCAACTCAAAGACCTCAAGCCGAATAGACGCAACGGAACCTAACCAAAATATTTTGGTCTGATTCTATTCGGTTTTCTTCATCAGTTTGGTTCAGTTTGTGAAAATTTTCTTCTTAATTATTTTGGTTTTAAATAATTTTGAATATCGAACACAACAATTTGAATTGATGTATGTATTATCACTAGATTCCTTACGATGACTGAGCTAAACTGCCCTTGCAAAAAAAAAAAAAAAAGTTGACTGCATATATTGTGATGAGGGTATATAAAAAAAATAAGTGACTTTTAGTCTTCTTTTTTTTTTTGTGCTGAAAAATTTAGATGAGTTGGATCCCAGGAGGTCTGCCTACAGATTTAGAAAGCATTTATAGATATATAGATCGCCTACCAATAAGATTCTCACATTAACGATGAGATTCAAACTCACAAATTTATGAGTTATAAGCTAACTTTTTACCAATTAAATTAATTTTTGTTGGTTCAATAATAGCTTTTTTGTAAACATTATGCCATAATTAAGATTATGCGGACAAGTATTGACGCAATATATCCAGTTTTGGCAATTGAGGCGATGATTTGGAATGGCGCTCTAAAAAGTATTCTAGGCTGCTGATCATATTCCATATTTATTATTAGTAAATGAACATGTTAAACCAAACAAGTACTCTTCTGACCCTTAATATAAGACCTATTTAACTAAGTTGATTAGATCAATAAAGTTAAGTAAATTAGTTAATTATAGTTAAAAAAGTGTTTATAGGGGTAATTTAGAAAAAATTGATAAATACAAGAAATAAATCTTATATTTAGGATCAAAATCAACTTAGCAATTAAATCATATACTAAGAACCGAAGGAGTAGACTATGAATCAATCGTAAGCAAAACTACTTGTTTGATAAAATTGCCATTTAGAGCTATTTGCTATGTGCAAATATTGGACACCGAGAAAAGATATGTTCAAAAGTAATTACACAAAAATTAGTTATCTAGCTCTTATCCTTAATAGAAGAGCTCGATAACTAATTTTTAAATATTAAAAAAATTAATTTAATTAGTTATTTAAAATAAATAGGTAGTCTTTACTAAAACGTTTTTATTAGTCATATGTATTAAAATGAAGACTCGCTCTACATTAAGAAAATAATAAATAAATATGAGACAAAATATATTGTAATTTTACATTTAAAATCATATTGAATTTTTAATTAGCTCTTATATTCACAAGCAGGAGCTAGGAGCTAGGAGCTAGTATTAATATCTATTCTGGCCCTCAGCTTAAACCTTATCTAGGCTCAAAATTGCCGCAGCCATCCAAGCCTACCAAAGGCTCTAAACCATGCAGGTCACAAACAAAAACTTTAAACAGGAAAAAGTTCAAATGTGGCATTTGCTATAAGGAATTTGATTTTCATGTTAAAGCAGTGAATAATTTTATTTTCTTCCACCACCCCCCCCCCCCAAAAAAAAAAATAGAGCTGAATGGTTCAACTACTTGATCACAATTAGATGGTTCTATCTGTACAGACGACGTCGAGAAAATGTAACATACCATCAATTCTTAATCTGATCCTTCTTGGTTTCCTCTCATTCCTTCTCATCTTAGATGATTGGTGCTTGTCAATATGCTGTGGGTAAGGTACAACAGCAAATAAGGTTACAACATGAAACTTGTATCACTAACGCTCCCATCGGCCAGGACAATAATCTACAAGGATGCTACCTAGTTATGTGTCAATCAATCATGGCTACGGCCAGAAGAACTCTTGAAAAGATGGTCCTGGTGAAAAGGATCGTCTGCACCATGCACAGAACTCAACCGAGGAGAGAAATTCCATCCTGATATCGGCTCCATCTCATAGCTATCAGATCTTTTGTTGGCTTCTTCCCGGAACTTCATGTAGAACGTTGACGACCAGTAATCTCTTGCCAGATTCTGAGGAAAAACATTTTTGTATAGATGAAATTTAAACTATTTTGCTAGTCTCCAGGGACGAAATCTTCGCTTACCGTTTTCATCAGCTGCATTACTTCATTTAATGCATTATGGAAGAGATCAGGGCGTGCAAGATCAGAAGTCATCAAAATTTCTTCTCTGCTTCTATGAGAAATATTCACCTCCATTGATGCACCTGTCCATTTACAACTTGGATCTTGAGTAGTTGAGTTCCACAAATTTGCAGGGAACTCTTGCAACACATATTCTTCTATCATAAACTTACGCAAAGCCCGAGAATAATGTTCTTTCCCAAAATCTGGTTCCGATATTGGACCAAAGCAGAATACACGCTATTTCCTACGGTAACAGAGTCAATTACTCTGCTGCCACTACTCCTAGCCATCAACAACGTACAGAAACCAACAGTAACACTACAGTAAAGCAACTTCCTAAATTACTTTCTTACCCTTGTACTCAGACCACAAAAGCCATTCATGATTTCAAGCATCATCTTGTTTATTGGAAAGAGTAAACTCAAGCTCAATAGCTTAAGCATTTAAGCACAAAACTATGATTTATGTCAATTTTTTGGCTAGACGTTTACGTCAAATGGCTGAGTTCATAGAGTATTAAAGAGATTTGAACTTCTTTCGGCCAACAAGAGAGTTCAAGGTTTACAATCATGAAGTAACCCGTGATACATGCCAGACAAGCCAAAGAATAACAAATTAGTAGGAAAAGGAAGGCCTCGGAGAGTCGGAGTTACAGACCTGAAGCTATGTACTTCTCAATAATATGGCGTGTCATATAAATCCTTCTCACTGAATCATCTTCAGGTATTTTACTAAGCTCATGCACTTCATCAAAGAAGTGCACACTCTCCCCAGCCAAGCAACTGTAAATTAATTGAACAGAAGCATTACATAAATGTTAAAACAAAACTTAAAACCGTTTAATTTCTTCTTCTTCTTTTTTTTTGGTGGCAAAAAAGTTTCAAATTTCTAGGTCCAAAACAGTCTGGACCTGGTGATACTAGAGAGTACAGATACAAGATCCATTTATCTCTACTTGGTTTCCTATGTGCAAATTTAACATCTTTCATTCTGAGAAGAGTAACCCACTACAACTAAGTGCTTTATAACAGAGGATCTCTTCCTCAAATGCCCACCAAGAAATGAAGGAGAAAACTGTCATTTTGGTGAGGTGTAGTCAACCTTATATTTAACCTAATATCCACCAAGAAATTGGAATTTAGAGAAGGGTATTTAACCTATCGGCAAATGCCATAAAGGAGTGCCGGAATCTCTTGTTCAAGAGAAGCTTATCCAATGGCTCATTAGTATCTATCACAGATATTGGTTCATTGTGAGCTAATACCCCACTATCAGGTATGCCCAGTGCCTGACCCATTGTGCAAAACTCTCTGGATTCTCTTCGCCTCAAGCTGATTTGTGAGAGCAGTGGTTGTGAAGTCGATATTGAAAAGAAAGCCATTACAAGTATGCTGGCCTGTTAAATGAAAAGCTGAAAGTAAATATTTCAGAAACTGATGGTCTAAACTTCAGCTTTCGGTTAAACTAACAATGTAAATTACGACATTACTATGCAACAAAAGCAGCAGAAGTAGAGCATACCATAACTAGAAGCAAAAACCGGGACACAACTTGAAGCCATGAGATGTCGTCATGAATTTCATTTAGTATGTAAGCCGTAACCCACACAACTGGGGGCATAAAAAAGAAACAGTGAATTTTTCGGGCCAACAAATTTAGACATTCTGAGCCCCTTTGAGCTCAGATTTTTATATAAACCAGTTTCAAAGTCACTCAAGTGCTATCCTTAGTGCTTAGGTGGTTTTTACAGTATATAATACCAATCTTTGTAAACTAGTCAAAATGATGTGATAAAGGCAAATGCATACATTATAATATTCACCTTGTCCTTGGCCACACTTAGTTACATATCTTCCAGTATTCCATGGAAAGTTAATGGACCAAGTAGCAAGTGCTCACACGTGTTACTCTTCTTTTCATCAACAAATTGACCATGCAGATAAACCTCAGACAAAAAGTACAACACACAAACATGTCTATGTTTCACAAAAGCAGAACGCTCAGAAAAATGATGAGCCTATGATAAGAACTGCCAAAAAGCAACTACGTTCATCAAGATGCCTAGATTTGAAAAGAAAGGTTCTAATGTTATTCAATAGAGCACGGTATCCATGAGGACCTCTCCCTCACGGAAGCAACTTGTGCAGCAAGTTGCAAGAGATAGAGTTTACATGGAAGCAACAACCCCTAATAGAATAAGCTTATGCAAGATGAATTATAATTATATGTCAAACAGCGGTCAAGCAAAGAAGCCTAGTGTGTGTTGCCGCTTAAAAGGGATTATAAAGATTGGGATTTAAACCAGAAATTAAGCTGTCCTGCATTGCACCAAGGTTTTTGGCAAATCAGTACCCTAAGGATATTGTTTGATATAAATTTTTGCCATGACCGAAGTAAAGGATGCACTGCACCTTTGTATCAATATTTAGAATCAAAATCAATAATTTGAAATATTCAGAAAAATATGCTAACGGCCTAAGTTTGAGTTTGATTCCTCTTCTTCATCAAATGAATTTACTCTATCCAAAATTAAGCCATTTGCTGAAAACCTAAATCAGTTATTCAAAGAATATTGTTATATATTAAACCTTAACTTATAACTGTAGGGCAACTTATAACTGTAGGGCATTTATTAGCATGACCCTTATCTAAAGAAAATTTCTGAGCCACAAAAGAACCTAGGCAAAGGCATACCAATGGACAAAACCGATACAAATATTCCCCGCCAGAGGTCTCTGAGTTCATCAAATCTGAACTCTATATGACGAACAGCTCCTGTAACTCCCAGCAAAGTGGTCACATATAATGCATGGAGACATACAACTGGGATGATCCACTGAACCCTCATGTGACAGTGATAGTTTAGAGGCTTCTTCGTATTGATAACTAAATCATGAATGAAGAATCCAGTCACAACTACTTACAAAAAAAAAAAAAATTAAATATACAAGAAATATAGATGGGTACTAAGAGATAAGAAATAGACAGAAAAATTTTCTTCTTACAACCATGAACCAACCGCCAGTTAAACAAGAAATAAGTATAATTAATAGATTCTTACAAGTAGCACCAGCAATCCAAGGAAGAAGAATAAGAGGAAGAAGAAGATATGATCTGATAAGCGGTAAGCGCCTCCTGAAATATCAAAAAACAAAGTAAAATTCTATAGAAAAGTTAACATATGACAATTCCTTTATCACTATTAAGGAGAGTGCAGTACATGAATAACAATGTACTAAAAACAGGACAAAAATTAAACATCGTGAAATAACTAGGCCAAGAGCAATTTCTTTTGGTCAACAATGCCTACTTTTTTTTGGGCAATGTCAACAACACCTACTTAATAATAGGGCTATTAAAAAAAATTTAAAAAAAAAAAAAAACTACAAGGACCAACGCACTAATGAAACATAGCTTCGCAGTCAAAACCAGTTAGACATGCACAACAAAAGATTACATCAAAAAAATTATTCACTATGTCCAGTTCAAAATAAAGACTGACTGCATTTGGATTCAGGTAGGCAAGAGATAAATAAAAGAGATGATCATATCTGTTTAAGTGGGCTTGGGTTGGTTGGGTGGTTAAGAGTAAAAGACATAGCATAAGGAATCTAGAGGGTCATAGTCATAGTTCATAATTCAATTCCAATTTGTCACTTGATAGCATCACAAAGCTTTACTTACTTAACAAAAATAAAATATAGTTGAAACGCTTGTGTTATTCGACAGCTTAGCAGCAAACCAAACCCTAGTGGACCTTCAACCCAGACTGAAAGCAAATAGAAACATCAGGTTGTTACTAGCAATTATGCAAACATGCTAAGAAGATATAAATAAGTCGCTAATGATGAAAAGGGAATGAATTACCTGCCCAGAGATAGCAAGATTGCCACCAATGTCTCTTTTTGAATTTCACAAAATTGACAGACATCTTCACAAAAATTAAATGAGTTGAACATTACAAAATTAACAGGTAAACAGACAGCTACTATAGGAGTAACAACTAAGACGGATGAGTTGGTAATTATGGGATATCTAATGACATAGATCAAGAATTTTCATTCTACCACGGTTGAAAGCAGAAGGTTGAAGCTAGCAACAACTTGAATAACTGGTATCCAGAAGCTACTGCCTGTAGTACGAGGAATCTTGTCAACTAGAAAAGGAAAGATTGACCATGAGAGAAGCCTGAAAGACGGAAGAACTCTATGAGCAACAGAAAATACCATAATTGTTACTGTCTCAAATTGAACGAAAAAGAAACCAGAAAACTTCCCATAAGGATAGCAAAACAACAACAAAATAAATAAACAATTGATGAGCGTGCTGAAAGTTCTGAGACCACACGGCAAAGAAGTGAGAGAAGAGTTAGCTGATCTGCAGAGGTGGTAAATGACTTTTCACCAACCACAGGATAAATTTCCGAGGCAACCAGCAACAAAAGTATTTCCCATATCGAGAGATCTCTAAACAGAAAACGAATTCACTTCATTAATTTAAGCAGCGAATCAATCTCCCATCACTCAGGCTTTGCAATTTCATGCACTTACTGGATACACAGATAGATAGCCCCACACAGACATTCAATTAGCCGAGCAAGTGCAGTAATTATTAGCCAGTATGAACTTAAGCTAATCTTGCGGCCAGATTAGTTGTCTTACAAAACTAATTCCCCTTACTTGGCTGGATTGAGAGGGAAAAGAAAATAAAAAATGAAGAAACTTACAAAAGGAATGACAAAATAGAAACGGCGATGGCTACATAGTCGCTGGGACAACCTCCTTCCACGGCACAGCTTGCCATTCTGGATGCATTGGAAGAGAGTTTAGTTCACTGAAACATACTGTGATTGCAATGAATCCAACATAAGTCCGTCGTTCACGTGATTTTTGGGTTTCAATCTTTGACCATCGGTCGAGTTTTAGTCTTTTAAGCAAATCGGTCTCAATTTCACATGTCCTTTCCACAGTCGCAATCCTCATTCCTAACGCTTTGGCGTTTACGCAAGTTAGTCAATTGATTATTGATTAATTATATTCATTTTTTCATGAGATCCAGATAATTAAATTATACTGAAAAGATATCCTTGATAATATATGGAGGTAATACAACATTTAACCCCTCAAATTTATTTTCATTCTAGTTTTGGTTACTCGAACCTCAAATTATAGGTTTGGTCCTTCAAGTTTCTTTTTATTTATAACACTAGTCCCTATAATCTAATAAAAAAATTGGACCATTTTGCCCATTTATGATTTAAAATCTGACAGACCAAAACCAAAATAAGAGCAAACTTGAAAGACTAAATATTATATTAGACCTAATATAAGTTATTATAAGGTGTTTTTGGTGGAAACCAAACCATGATTTTAAAAATAATTTTACAGTATACGAAATAAGTATATGAAAAGAGTTTTATCTTGACTTGCGTAAAGATGCTTTTAAAAAACACTTTGGGGGAATTCCAAACACCCCCTTAATATAATCGACATAACTACAACAGTAACAACAAGTCTTATCTCACTAGGTGCGGTTATTTATATGAATTACACGATACCATTGTGCTCTATCAACAACTAAATATTTAGATATGTTGTCGACAAGAAGGTTTTGTTCAATGACCTTATTGAGCGTTTTTCTCGGTCTTCTTCTGCTTCTTTTTATAGGACTCAAAACTGTCTAATATGCCTTTCTCATCTACACCTCTAATGGCCTTTTTTGCACATGTCCAAATCACCTCAAGCGATGTTTAACTATTGTCTCTTTGATAGGCACCACCTCTACTCTTTCTCTTATATTTTCATTTCGAATCTTTTCTTTACATGTATGACCACACATTCATCTCAACATCCTCATTTCTACTACCCCAACTTTATACTCTTGGTTTTCCTATATCACCTACTATACAACACAGCTGGTCTTATAACAATACGATAGAATCCTCTCTTAAGCTTCTTAGATATCTTTTTATTGCAAATAACTTCAGTAGTCTTTTTCCACTTTAACCATCCAATTTGTATTCTATGAAAAACATCTCAATCAATTTCATTATCCTCATGTATAATGGATCCTAGATATTTGAATTTTGACACTTGAGGAATGATTTGATCTCCCATCTTCCCTTCCAAATCACCATAGACTTGCTTCCCCCCAAATTACAATGCATATAATCTATTTTTCTCTTGTTCAAGTGAAAACCTTTCGACTCCAGGATCCTTTTCCATAACTTCAATATAAAGTTAATCTTTTCTCTTGATTCAACTATGAGAACTATGTCATCCATGAAAAGCATGCACTTAGGGATTTTTTTTCTTGAATAAGCTTGGTTAGAACGTCTAGAACAATATTAAACAAGTAAGGGCTCAAAGAAGATCCCTGGTGTAGGCCAACCTTAATAGGGAAGTCTTTTATCTCACCTCCAAGCATTCTTACTTTATACATATCCTGTATAGCTTTGATATATGCAATCCGTGCGCATACCTTTCTTTTCCCAAGCTTTCCAAAGTACTTTTCTTGGCACATAATTATAAGCTTTTTCCAAGTTAATAAAAATCATATATAAATCCCTTCCTATACTCTTATATCTTTTCATTAATTTCCTCAGTAAATAAATCACTTTTGTTGTGGATCTGTCCGGCATAAATCTAAATTGGTTTTTAGAAATAGAATTCTCCAACCTCAACCTATGTATAATCACTTTTTTGCACAACTTCATCATATGGCTCATAAGTTTTATCTTTTTATAACTTGCATAATTTTAAATATCTCCTTTATTCTTATAAATAGAAACTAAAGTGTTTTTCCTCCATTCATCCGGCATAGTCTTTAAGCTTAAAATTTTATTAAAAAGTTTGGTTAACCATAATATAAGCATATACTAAAGAAAACATTAAGTTTCATTAATTCTTAAAATCCAACAATTTTCTCACTAATTTATTCTTATTTAATTTATAATATATCTTGTAAAAATAAAATTAACACAATAATAAACAAAGGATAAAATTATATAAATATGACCAAAGAGGATGTGCACTTTAAAATCAGAGAAGGAAAACTGTTTAAAAGCAGAGAGCAGTACACACATAATTTACTATAAAACAACAAAGGATATTTGGGATCGATTTGTTTTGAGACTTGAGATTGAGATTGACTTTTGTTGCTAATATAATGTCTAGCTCCTCAAGTTTTTTTTTTTTTTGAATTTGGTCTTTAAGTTTCAAATCTTATATTTTGGTCTCTTAATGAGCAAAATAGTCCAAATATTTATTAAATTATATAAAATAATATTTTAAATAAAAAGAAACTTAAATGACCAAAACCTTTGATCTAAAATTTGGAAGCCAAATATTACATTAATCCATTTTTCCTTTTTATGATAGGATTTAAGAAATTCACGGCAGTTGAGACGATATTTCTTTTTTATGATAGGATTTTTTTAAAATTAAGAAACACATGGCATAATGGGTGATCAAGAATACTTAATAATCAGTTTTTCTTGTTATGATAGGATTTAAGAAACTCATGCCACTTGAGACGGATTTTTTTTATGATAATATTTATTACTTAAGAATTGTTGATGACTCATCTCAATGAAATATCTACATCTCGAAATGATGTGGTTCTGTTTCATAAATTTCAAATAAAATCCTTATTTTTTAAATACTAAAATATAAAGTTGCTAAAAGTAAGTCTCCTGCAACATGGAAATCGATGTCCCATTTCATATCTGCCTTAGTATGTATTATATTTATATATAGAGGGCGATACAGAAGATCGGTTCGCTCCACAAAGCTGAGCTTTTCTTTTTTATCCTCTCCCCTTTTGTGGTCAAACTTCTTACCAATCTGCCTTCTTAATGGAATATAGGGTCTCTTTGGTGCCCCAAAAACTATGGTTTGGAAGGTAAACTCATGGTTTGGATGGAATGTCACCCAAATAGTATCAATTTTGAAAAAATAATCTGAAACCATAGTTTGGGCCAAAATTATGGTTTTTAAGCCCAAAACTATAGTTTCAGGAGAAGTAAATTCATTATGCTTCTGACTCAAATTGGAGAGTATGATTGTGTCTGTTAGAGTAGATCTCAACAATAATATTATTTTAACATCCCTCAATTATTTTTTATAAACATATTTAATCTTATATCTCATAAATATATATACACATATTAATTATTTATTAATTAAATTATCTTATGTATTATTAATTATGTTGGTAAAAAATATATTACTAATAATTTTATTCCTTCAAATTAAAATATATCATAAAATCTATCTTGTAACATCCTTAAAAAGAAAAAGAAAAAAATTAAATAATGTAAATATTATTTTATTATTATTAAATAATAATATTTTATTAATATAAAAAAAAATTGACCCAGCTTTCCACCGACTTTCGGTGGAAAAGCTGGGGGGTTATTAAGAGGGAGAAGAATATGGGGTGAATTGAAGGCCAAGAAGAATTTTTCACGCGGGTAATTAAAGAGGAAGGAGGAAAAATGGGGAAGAACAATAAATGAAGGAAGAAAATTGACGAACGTTGGTTGGCATGTTAAAGGATAAATAGAAGAGTGTGAGTGTTGTGTAGAGTAGAGAAAGAGAGGTGAGAGACGTAGGAAGAAAAACAAAGAACAAGAGAGTGAGTGAAGATTTCTACAAGGACGTGCTAGCATTTGGGGATCATATAAGTACATTAAACACTTCTTTGTATTAAATTTTTCTCTATGAATATTTCCTATATATTTAGAGCTTTATATTAGTAGTATTACTACACTGTTTAGAGAAAATTTTGTGAGCTGGGTACAAAGTAAGTAATGATTTTTGACAATATATGACTGTAGAAATTTAGAGATAAATAAGTAGTTAATTATAACCGGTTTAGATTTGTCTATTTATTATCTATGGTATTTAAAATTAAATTTATTTGTTGAAAAATCTGTCATTCATGATATATATCATATTTATACCGATTAAAAATAGGTTAAATAATTTATTTGGGTTGTTCGATATATTATTAAAATTTTAATCGGTTTATATTTGTTTATTGATTGTTTTGAGAATTTTAAACTAAGATTTTAGTTGAAAAATGTATTATTCAAGATATATAGAATGTTTTTACCGATTAAATTTAAGTTAAATAACTTATTTGGGTTACTTAATGTATTATTGATATTTTAAGCGGTTTAAAATGTAAAATAGGTTAAGACTATATTATTAGAAAAATTTTGAAACTGGAAACTGAAGTTATAAATTGAAATTCTTACAATATTAGATAAAAACAATATTTTATAAATATAATTTAAATGAGTTATTTGGGTAGAGAAAAATTGTTATTTGAAGTAAAAAATTTTGGATAGTAAATATATGTATAAATATTATTAATAATAAATTCTATGTAATTTAAGTTAATTATTTGTATGTATATTAAATTGTATCTATATTATTTGTAGATTATCTGGTACTTCAGAGTTTGTAATTTGCGTTCTTATTTCTCAAGCTGTGAGGTTAAGCTTGGAGTAGAGGTAACCGGGGTTAATTTATGTTATATACACGCTTTGGATTGTAAGGTGTTTATTATGTTTTTATTTTCTTAGTTAATTTGTAAAAGTATGTCTGTGAATAAAATATATTTTATTATATGACAAATTTTGGTGAAGTGGGAAGTATGTTGATCTAATTATGTTTGAGTTGTGTTTTATTGGAAATTGTGTTTTTGTGTAGTACTGAATTTAATATACTAATATTATGTTATTAAATGAAATGAAAATGTGTTATACTTTATTTGAAATTATATCATCTTACTTTGAAGATTGTGATATTTTGATTTATATTGTGACTATGCATGGGGTTCATATGTGGAGGATGGGATTTTGTTATGTGGAGGATAATTGTTCTTGAAGCCCGCGCGGCATGCCTACACTACGGATCCCAGTGTTTGGTCTTATTGTTAGACCCCTGTAGTTCTTCCTTTTCCTTGGCCCGGAATTGAGAATGAACTCTTGGGTAGACACCTCTTGCACCATAGTCCATTCTTGGGCGGTGTAGGTACAGGAGGGGGCCCGTTGCTTGATGTGAGTGGGGTGACCTTTGGCCGGGTTACTCAGCACAGAAAGCCCGGGTCCTTGTCAAGGAGTCATAAGGAGGAGCAAGGTGATGGGAGGGCATATTTCATTGTGTTGTTGCATATATGTACTTTTATATGAATTGTGTTGTGGATGGAGAGATATACTCTTTTTATGTGATTGTATCTATTAAAGTATCATTTATTTCTTAAACTATATTTAAGCACTACTTCACCAACTTACCATCCTACTTGTATATGTCATAAATTAATACTTGGTTACTGGGACTTTACGTCTCACCCCGCTATTCCATTAATGCTTTTCAGGAGAGCCATCTAGTTTGGCTCGGCGCGAAGGGAAGCAACCAGAGGCATAGGCGAGCATAGCCTAGTAGTCCTCTTCTGGTTTAGGCATGTAATGTTATGTATATTGCCATCTTAGGGCCCACAACTGTGTTGACATATACTTTCTTTTGTTTGGATGACTGTATTTGATGGAATACTGTTAAAATGGCTGCAGGCCATAAGACTCTGCTGTGTGCGATGTATGACTTATGGGCTGGGTTGAGCACCCTGTGTTTCTTGTGCCCTAAGTCTTTGTGGGATGAATATTATGTTGGGCTTGTGGGCGGTTACTGTGCCTTGAGGTTTTGTTCTACATTGTTAAACCATGGGTGTTTTATGCATCCTGAGCTACTTGGGACGTTTTCGAAATAAGTCAAACTCTTTATAACCATAGTAGTATTTTAACACTCTAACTCAATTCTTTTTCTACCATGGTTATCATTTTAAAAATGGTTTTATAATTATAAGAAGAGGTCTTTTCATATCTTTTATGTAATTATCATATTAACTTATGCCTTTTTAGTAATTTGTATTTATAAAAAGTACTTCTAATAGCAACTATCAAAACACTCTTCACTTTATTAGAATCACTTTTCCACAAAATTTATTCTCCAAAAGCTATTATTCAAATCATGGTTTGGTTTCATCCAAACACCCCCATAACAATGCCCGAGTGTCAGGTTTGCTTGTCATCATCGTTGATGCTTGGTGGATGTATCAATCATCCTCCTCTTAAGGTAAGGAGTCTTCTGTGTGTTATAATCTATAATCTTTACGGGAATGAGAATTGCTCGAGAATTCATTGATAGTTGCTTTGCAGAGGGCTACTCTTCTTTTTTGTTGATTGAGCCTTTTTCCCTCATTCCACTTGGCCAGCCCTCTTCACGAACTTGTACAATTGATGCCACAAAGATAGTCAACTCTATTATAGAAGAAATAGGGAAATGGGCAATGATCTAGCACCAGACATCCAGAGTTGTGGAAAACCTTCAACCAGCAACTATTTGCAACTCACCTAGAATGTCAATACATACTAAGACCTTATTCACATTAGGAGGTTTGCTGGTCTAAGAGTGAGAAACAGTAAAAATATACAAAGCAAACAAGAAACACGAGAAGGTGCAGAGGTAATGTGCTTTTCTGCAATTTCTATATTCTAAAATAATACTGATTACACTAGAATTTAAAGACAAAAAAACCAACTTTTCTGAAAAATAAATTAACATAAATAATTAGTAATCAAATCCATTCGTAATTTTCAGCTACCTATTATCCCACTTTCCTGCAAATTGTTGAGTCCGAGATTTTAGCATATGACGTTCCTCTCTTCCAGTGGGCCACTCTTACAAGATGTTAAATCAGTTTCAGAGATTTGTGGGAGTTACTTCCGAATCCCCTCTAGTATGTTTTGAATCACATCTCCAACACTCCCTCTTGATTCAAAATCGCTAACTCCAAGTAAGCTTCTAAGATACACATGCCTCTAAGTCGATAGAGCTTTAGTGAGGATATCTGAAAATTGAACTTCAGTGCTGCAATATTTCATAATTAATTCACCTTTTGCAACTAACTCACGAATGTAATGAAACCTCAAATCTATGTTCTTGGTTCTCCCATGAAACACTGGATTTTTTGTCATTGCTATAGCTAATTTGTTGTCACAGAACAACTCAGTTCCTTCTTCTTATTTTTGCTGCAAATCATCTAACATTTTTCTGAGCCAAACGCATTGACTTGCTACGGTAGTTGCTGATATATACTCTGCCTCTGCCATTGATAGAGCTATAGTAGCTTGCTTTTTTTTTACATCCACGTGATTGCTCTTGAACCCAAGTTAAAAATATATCCAGATGTGCTCTTCCTGTCATCTAAAGAGCTTGCCCAGTCACTGTCACTAAATCCAGTCAACTTAAAATGAGTTACAGGAGTGTACTAGATTCCATAGCCTACTGCTCTAACAATATATCTCAGAATTCGTTTTGCCACACCATAATGCTCCTTTGGTGGATTGCACATGAACCTTGACACAACACCTACCGAAAAAGATATATCTAGTCTTGTGTGTGTTAGGTACATTAAACCACCAACTAAGCTTCTATATAGCTTCTGGTTCACTTTTTCAATTCCATCTTCTTGCTGCAACTTTTGTTTAAGATTCATTGGAGTAGCTTTTACAGTGCAATTAAGCATATTAAACCTTCTCAGCAACTCTATTGCATATTTCTTTTGATAAACAAAAATTCCAGCTTTGTCTTGCACAATCTCTAGGCCCAGAAAATAATGCAAGAAGCCTAAATCTGTCATCTCAAACATGTTCATTATATAGCCTTTAAATTCTTCCAATAAGGATAGATTAGAGCCTGTATAAATTATGTCATGTACATATAGGCAAACAATCATAAAGTCAATACCTTGCTTCTTTACGTAGAGAGTAGGCTCATTCTCACTTTTTGCAAATCCATTTTGTTGAAAGTAAGCATAAATCTTGTTGTACCATGCCTGGGGAGCTCTATAGAGTGCCTTGTTCAACTTATAGACTCTCTCCTCCTTTCCTTGAATCTCAAAACCTTCAGGTTGTGCAACATAAACCTCCTCTTCAAGGTCTCTATTCAGGAATGCAGATTTGACATCTAGTTGGTACACTGTCCATTTATGTTGGGGTGCTAGTGCTAGGAGAAGTCTCACTGTTTCAAACCTTGCAACAGGAGAGAATGTCTCTTCAAAGTTAACTCCTTGTTGTCGAGAGTATCCCTTTGCCACTAATCGAGCTTTGTATTTTTGAATACTTCCATTTGCATTAAGCTTTCTTTTAAAGACCCATTTCAACCCAATCACGTTTTTACCTTCTAGTAAATCTGTTCGCTCCCATATTGAGCTCTTTTCTATGGTTGCAAGTTCCTCTTTCACGGCCTCCATCCACACTTCTTCCGTTGCTGCGTCTTGATAAGCAATAGGATTTGAAGCTAGCATGACAAATTCATTATTTTCATAGATCTCTCTTAATGATCTAAATCTCATTTGATGATTCACTAGCTGAACTTGCACTACCTCTTGATGGTGTTGCAGGACTACTACTAGCTAAAATGATTGGAGTTGATGGATTAATTGAGGTTGTGGTTGTCTCCTCAATTAATGGCATCCAGAGTGGACTTGCATTGCTGTTTGTATCATTTTCACCCTAATTCCAGCTTGCATCTTCATTAAATGATATGTTTATGCTAACAATTATCTTTCCATCAAGAGGATCATGTATCTTATATGCCTTAGACTCATAACGATAGTCAATAACAATACATTTATGAGACTTTTCATTAAGCTTTTGGTGATGTTGAGAATTAACTAAGACATAAGCAATACAACCAAACACTCCTAAATGGCTTACAGTGGGTTTTCTCCCTTTCCATGCTTCATATGGAGTACAATCTTGCACTGCTTTTGTTGGGGAGAGATTTAGCAAATAAACTGCCATTGGTACAGCCGTTGCCCAATAGGAATTTGGCATTCCTTTCCCTTTCAGTAAGTTTCTTATCATTTCCACCACTATTCTGTTCTTGTGTTCTGCTACACCATTCTGTTCTGGTGTACATGGTGCTGTCAATTCATGTTGTATCCCATTCTGTTACACCTTACTACTAGAATGACTTAGAGTTCATTTGGAACCATTTTAGACCATATTGGATGGTCTTGAACTCAAAAATTTCATTGTAGGTGTTACTTTTCGGAAATTCACTGCTCATTTGGTAAGTTCCAGATTTCTGGTCCAATTTCAAAAAATCATAACTTAATCTAAAAACATCAAAATGGAGTGGTTCAAAATTCTATGGAAAGCTCTTTGAAAGATCTTTCAGGAAAAAATAATCTTATGAACAATTCTTTTTGATGAAGTGCCAGATTTTTGTGGAAGTTACCACTATTACTTTGGTAAAAATCTTTTTTTTCAGATTTTCATTCTTAAATTTGAAAAATCATTAAAAATCATACGATTGTCCAATTTTAATGTGCTGCCTATCAAATTGAAGCTCAGGACATGATCTTTAAGTCTGCCAATTTTTGTCATAAAATTCGCCCAGGAACTTAATCAAAATGCTGCTCCAAGTCAACAGTTTAGTTAGGCTTGCAGCACCAAACATGCATGCTTTTACATAACCAAAAGTTAAATGATTTTTATGGTTTGACACTATAATCACCCTTGAATATGTAGCTTTTCTTTGGATGATTCAGGCCCCAAAATGTTAGATTATTTTGGGAGGGTGAGATTTTAATGAAATCCCAGTAGCAAGATTAATAACTACTACATCAAACATGCATCATCATTAAAGCATTTCAATATTAGTTACCATAGGAGAACTAATCTTCTTATAAATAGATAACCTCAACATGCAAGGCCATGGTAACAAATGCAAAGAGAAACCATATCACAATCATCATAGTTCAACCACATGATAACAAGCATTCATGACACAATAAACAATACAAGGTTAACATCAGTGGTTAATTAAGTCTTACTACATTGATCCAAAAGCTCTTTGCTTCTTTGATCTTCTTCCTTTCCTCCACAAATATCAAGCCCTATCATCACAATAAGGGAAGCAACATTACAAACTAAACTATACAAAAATCAATAGCAAAACTCAAGTAACCACTTATCCCTTTAATCTTTAATCTTTGATTTTGGAGCTTTGTTTCTTTAAATCCTAAAAATTCTTTCTTGGTTCCTACATGGTTTTTCGTGTAGATTCCAAATATACACTTAGATTTAAGAAAAGACATTTCCTTTCTCAAGAAACAAGTTGGGTGAAACATAGGGTTTGTTCTTCCAAAAATCACAACTTTGATTCTAATGCTTCTAATATTTATTCTTTAAATTGATCCTACACCATTTTCCTTTTTAAACACAATGGAAGTATCAAAACTTTGAAAATCTCATCCTAGGTTAGAGCTTTCATCTTGGTTGAATAGTCCCTTCAAGGAACCAGCCATGAAAAACCTCCAAACAACAATACAAAACCATTTGAAACAACCATGATTGATAGTGTTCTAACTAGGTTTTGCAACATAACTTCCTTCCCCTAACCTCAAGCATTTCGGCCAGCACCAACCCAAGGGAAAACTAGAAATTTTAACCATCAAACCCAAGAGAATCAAGTAAGAAACAACATAGGATCATCTACTAACCTTAGCTCTAAGCTTACTTGACCAAAGGTAATGTCTTTCTTCTTGATTGAGCTTCAAAAATGGATGGATAGCCCTCTTCTTCCCCTAGCTGAAATTCATATCTGAAATTGGGGGAGAATAAGCTCTCTTTAATGCTGAAAATATTCCAACTACCAATATTAATGATATATCACGTGTCAAGAGCTTAATCCTTCTTGTAATCTCTCTCTTAACTTGAAGCCAAATGAAATTAATTTCAAAAGTCAAGATCCTCTCCATTTCAAGCTTGATACTTGGAAACTTTAAATACTTTTCATTAGGGGTTTGACAAGTGGCAAATTGTGGGCCAAATAAAGTGCAAGACTCTAGTCTTCACTTTATCAGTGCACTTTTATTCCAGGTTCAATTTCTTTTCTATAATTATAGTACTCTGGCTTCTGTAATTATTTTTTGTCAAATCCATGATTTATTCTCCTCATCTTTATCTTTCTAAAATGCCCTCTTTAACTCAGTCTCAATTTCCCATTAATTAAATAAAAAAAAACTATTTTCCTTCTCATTAATGATTTTTCCACTTGTCAAAAGAATTAGGAAAAATCTTGGATATTTGAGGGCCTCCTTTTAATCTGATAATATCTTACAATTCCTTGGAACATCATAGAAATTTTCTTGAAATTTTATTCTCTTTTAAAATATTTATTTGGAATTTTCCAAATAAAATGCCTCAAATTAGCCTAAATCATCCTTAAATTCCTTTATAATTTTTCTAAGAGTAATTTGGTCATAAAACCAATTATACATCCTCATATAATTCTCAAGGAATATTATCCTTATTCCTTAATTTTCTGAGGTTTGGAAATATTTTCTCTACAATTATTTTTGACCAATTTTTCTTAATTAGTCAAACTTCCATAATTGACTTGGAAAATCATAATAATTATTTTCTACTAAAATTATTCTATTTCTCTTTACCATTTCTAGCCCTTAATTTTTAGGAATATCTTTATTCCTAATCACCATATTACTGGATGTGACACATTCTCTTCACAAAAATGGATGAATTCATTTGAGAGAAATTCTCCACCTCTGTCTGTGCGCAGAACTTTAATGCTTGCTCCACTTTGCTTCTCAACCATGGTTTTAAACTTCCCAAAATTTTCAAATGTTTCTGATTTGGCTTTTAGGAAGTACACCTAGCTCATCGTGCTAAAATCGCTAACAAAAAGAAGAAAGTAGAAGCTGCCACCTAATGATTCTGTATTCGTAGGATCACACAAATCAGCACGTACAAGTTGACAAATGGAGACTTATTTTTCATAAATTTGGAGAGTTTACTCAAGACTTTCAGGAACAAATATTAAAGTGGCCTTTGGGTCAAACGAAAGGACCAACGAAAGACTATTCAAAAGCTCTAACATTTACAAGCCTAAATCGCTTTCTTGACACTTGGATTTCAATTGACACGCCATTGTAACAAGACCTAGTTGTTGTTGTTAACTAATCAATTTTCTCTTTCTGCATTCCAAGTTATGTGTAACCCCTCAATAGATAACATCTTAGTCATTTTAAACTCACATCTTTTGTTCTGTGTTACTCAACATCCACTTCCTTCACTCTTTCAAATATCATATGTACTAGTTGATGACAAGTTAGATATATTTAAGGGAAAGAAAAAGACGAAAATACCCTCAAAAATCCTAAAGGACAAATTAGGGTAAATTAATTTCAAAATCTCAAGTCAAACCGCTTGTACTATTTTGAAATTTTATAATATTGTGAAATAACAATATTATCCTTATTTTTTATGAACTATTGACTACTTTTATATAGTTATTGATAACACAAGAGTAGTAAATAACTAAACAAAACATAGTCACTAAATCTCCAACAACACTTAATGCATTTTTTGAATTTTTGAAACAAAAGTAATCAATAGCAAAACTAAAGTAGTCAATAGCTAAACAAAAGTAGTCACCAAAATTTTAAAAATGAAAGTAGTCAATCACAATACTAAAATAGTCAATAGCTAAATAAAAGTAGTCATCAGAGTTCTAAAAACAAAAATAGTCAATAGCTAAAAAAAAGTTATCAATACATAAGAAAAAATAGTTAACAGAGCTCTAGCGACTGATCGCTGGAGCTCCAATGGCTAATCACCGATAGGGTCACCGGTGCTGGAGCTCCAATGGCTAACAGTGTTGAGATGGCAAAATTTTTTTTAATAATAATAATAATAATAATAATAATAATAATAATAATAATAATAATAAACGGTATTTGTGTAATTTTACAAGATTTAAAAATTTTAAAATGGTACAAAGGGGGTGAATTGAAATTTTAAAATTCACCCACACTGATTTGTTCTTTAGCAATTTCTAAGATATTTTATTATCTTTTTCCCTATATTTAACTCAATTGTATTTTCTAAGAATCGCATTTTGTGGAATTTCTTAATTTAAAATGATACATTACCTAACAAAAGAGGGGGAAAAGGGTGAAATACGCATACTCCCTTGTTGCACGAACTCATGCGTGATTAGACTTTAAACCTTCATTGAATCACTACACGTACAGCTAATAGTTGCCTCAAGTCCTATTCAAAGCACATGGACAGACCCTCCAATAAGTACCAATATGCATTTAGATATATATAACATCTCAAAAACTAATACAACACAAACACAAGGGAAATGGAGCGAGGGAGGTCAGGGTCGGAGAGTTTTCAAGCCTAGAGCAGCACGTAACTTGTTTGCTTCAGCAATCTCAGGATCAGGGTGATTAGTCTCATCGTCCTTCTTCTCCTCCTTCTTCTCGGGCTCATCACGACTTGCATCACCATCCTAGTGCCTTCTACTACTTGGACTCATACTACTCCATGCATGTCTCTTCCTATCCCCACCATCTCTGCTCCTACTTCTGCTCCTAAAATGGCTTCTTCGTCTCCCTCTCTCCCGATCCCTATCTCTCTCTCTCTCCTCTCTCGCTCCCTCCCTTCTCTTTTTCTTCCATACTCTTTTTCTTCCCTCACATGATACTGGTCTCTGTCCCTATCCCTCTCCCACTCTATCCCTATCTCTATCACGGCCTCGCCCTCTCTCTCTATCATAATCTTGGTCATAATCCCGATCCCTGGCAACCAGACATCCAAAAGTGCAATTTTTATTTAGTTAACAAAAACCACTGATCCGGGTATCCAATTTAAAAGGAAAGGACTTGCAAACGATAGAAAAATACCTCCACTAATAGATCAATATGACAAGCAATTAATTGCTTTAACCAGCAGCATTTGAGCTTTTCTAACAAGAAATATGCAATTCCCTAATAGATCAGTTGATTAATTCACATGTTGATGTGACCACATGGAACCTTATTTAAGCAGCAATAAAAATGTCTGATCCATCATACTTCTCACTGCACGCACACAGTGCAAAAAAAACCCGGCAGAATCATAAAGCTCTCTACTTTAGGAAGCAATTGAGAACCACAATTGGCTATGAATGCCAGAATGGAGATTGAAATATGACTTTAAACAGGATATATGTTGTGCAACTTCAGAAACAGCATC